CGCGTGCGCGCCCCGCGGGGCGGGGGGCTGGGAAGCGGAGCCTTTCTCTGCCCGGCTCTGGCTGGGCTTCCTGCCCGCCCTCCGCCCTCCCGGGGCGGAAGGTTTCCTCTCACCTTGCGGAGACCCGCGGGGGGCCGGGCGCCACCTGCGCGCAGCCCTCGGGAAGCGCGATGCCCCCGAAAGTTCTCCTACCCCGTGCGCTGCGCTGGCCAACCTGCCGGCCGGTCCACCTGCGTCCGCTTTTTGTTTTACAGCCTGTCCCGCGGTGAGGAGGAGGTGGATTTCCGAACCACATTTCCCACGAAAGCTCCAGAAGAACCACCCTTAGTTATTCACGCGGTCCCCACTGGAGAGGGGGCTCTCGCTAATCCCTGGTACTTATTGTGCGCCTGCACTGCGCAGATGGATCCGTGCCCTATGGCGAAGAACCAGTCTTGGACCCGTGGGTGGGAAGCAGTGCTTTTTAAATGCAGTTGATTGACTTTAGAAAAGCGCTTTCGTGAATGAGCCTATCTGAAGGCACAGCGCTGGGCTGTCCTGATTTTTGTAATGGTGTGCCTCGGGAGCTTCACCAACTTGGGATTCAATCCTCCTACCGACTGGGTGATTTTTGGCAAGTTTCTCACACACTCAGAGCCTGGGATCACATAAAATAGGAATATAACTTGCACCAACCCGCTGAAGATACTGTCATTGAATGAGATACTATGTGCAAGAGGAAAATCATTATGCCAGGTATAAAGCGAATACTCTGTAAATACTACCAAAAAAACCCCCAAAACTTTAGTTTCTGTCTGGTTTTGTACAAGATCTGCCTGGGGGAAAAAATTTAAAGTCCATTTTGATAGCTTCAGTTGAAACTTGAAAAGGCTGGTGGCACATGCCTGTAATCCCAGCACTCGGGAGGCTGAGGCAGGAGGATCCTTGCGAGTTCAAGACCAGCCTGGGCTACAAAGTGAGCTCAAGCCCAGCCTGAACTGCATAGCAAGACCCTGTCTCAAACAAAACAAAACAAAGGAGCAAACAAACAAAAATAAGACAGGGCCTTGTTACGTAGCCCAGGCTGGCCTGGTACTGGCGGTGATCCTCCTACCTCAGCCTCCCGAGTGCTGGGATTACAGGAGGGTGCCACCAGGCCTGGCATGAACTCTTTTAGAGTGTAAAATGCCTAGGAATAAATTTAATAAATGTACAGGGTCTTAAAGAAGAAATGACAAAGATCAAATGGTAATAAGCCAGCAGTGAGGGGTGCAAAAAAGATGGTAAAAATACCAACTTTACCTAATTTATTTCCTGAAATTCCATTGGCTCTGGGTAGATGGAGGGGTGCTTTTTCTAACATTCAAATGGAAAGATACAGTGGTTGGGGATTTAGCTCAGCGGCAAAGCCCCTGCCTGGCCAGTATAAGGTTGTGAATTTGATTCCTGGTACCGGAAGAAAAACAAACTGATGGGAGGACACATTTTTTAAAAATTAAGAAATTTGAATGTTTTAAAATGTGCGGGTAGAACTGTATTTTAACCAAATCTTAAACCATGCCTCAGATTTTTAAGAGCGTTGGCTGGGTGTGGGCATGGTGGCACATGCATTTAATCCCAGGCTGAGGCAGACCCCTGACAAATTGGAGCCCAGCACAACAACAACAACAATGAAACAAAAACAAGTCTCAGCATGGTGTTGACACGGGAATTAATAGATGAAATATATTTAAAAATCCACTGAATGATAAATGTGGCATTTCACTTTTATAGGGAATAAATAAAAAATTATTTAATAAAGTAGGCAAAATTGGGGAGAAATGTAAAACCAAGGATTTATTTAAATCATCATCAAAATTAAACATTAAGCTACAGACAAACAAAAGAGGGGTTGGGATGTGGTTCAGTGGTAGAGCGCTTGCCTCGAATGTGTGAGGCACTGGGTTCAATCCCCATCATGGATAGCTAAATAAATAAATCACAGAAGAGTTAGAAGAAAATATAGGTGAATTATCCAAAAGGGAAGGCCTAGCTATTCAGGCACAGGAAGAAACCAAGAGCAAGGAGGTATATTTGAATAAATATGCAAGACTTAGATAACATCAAATATTATTACTAAAAAGGCAAGTCACAAATTGGAGAACGTGTTTTTAATAAATGTGACAAAAGACTGACCTTAATGTATTGACCTCTTACACACCTATGCATAGCACAGTGACACCCTACATGCAGAAATGGATGAGGATGTAAACAGGAATGGCACGGAAGAAGATGTTCACATGGGTAAATATTTTAAATCCCATAGTCACTAGTAGACACATTAGGTTTGTTTTTTTTTTTTTTTAAAGTCAGGGCAGTACCTCTTTGTCAAGGATTTTTAAAAACATAATGCATAAGGTTGGCAAATACACAGTGTCACTGGGAGTATAAATGAATAACATCTTTCTGAGAAACAACATACATCAGAAACTTTAAAATTGGATCATTTGACCCAAGTATTCCTCTTCTGGAATTCATTCCAAAAAGATACAATCAGAGGAACACAGAGATTTATTTAGAAGGTGTTTTATCGAAGTGCTGCTCTTTTTACTTTCTCAGCTGTGACAGGGATGGAAGCCCGGTCTGCATATGTGCTAGGCAAGTGTTCTACCCCTGAGCTGCGTCCCAGCCTTTTTATTATAGCAAATAATAACAATCCCTATTGCAATAGAGAAAAATTTTTTAAAACTTGAACTGGTTCTTAAAAAGCACTTCTTTTGTTTTGGTCTTTTTTTTTTTTTTTTTTTTTTTTTCTCCGGTACCAGGAATCAAACTTACGACCTTGCGCTTGCCAGGCAGGCGCTGTGCCGCTGAGCTAAATCCCCAGCCTGTTTTCATCTTTTTGAGACAGGGTTTCAGTATGAAGTCTAGGCTGGCCTCGAACTCAGTGATCCTTCTGCCTCAGCCTACTAAGTGCTGGGATTACAGGCATGTACCACTACACCTGGTTTAAAAAACACTTTTTAAAAAGAACACATAATGAATTTGGAAATGTTCATAATACAGTAAGTAAATAAGAGACTAGAGTATGTCTCAGATCTATTGTATTCATACATGTTTGTGCAATCATACAAAGACATTGAAGAACATCCATAAAAATACTAACTGTAATTGGAGGCAGGATTATGGGCAATTTTAATGTACTTTTTTTCTAGTGTATCTGTGTTCTGTAAATTTTCTACAAGAAAGAGGTATTACTTTCAGAAGCAGGAAAAAAAGAATGAATTTTTTTTTTTTTTGTCTTTTTGAGACAGGGCTACCCTATGCAGTTCAGGGTGGTCTTGAACTCACTTTGTAGCCGAGGCTGGCCTCAAACTCGCAACTATCCTCCTGCCTCAGCCTCCCACGTGCTGGGATTACAGGTGTGCGCCACCATGCCTGGCCATGAATGTTATTTTTAAATATCCCCGTGAAATATATACTTGAAAAGGTTTTCCCTTGAACAACTTGTGGTGCTATTTTTGTTTTGCTTTGTTTTTCACAGCAGTATTATTTCTTTTTCTACATTTCTGTGATGGGTACAGGGTGAGAAGAAAGGCATTTTTGACTCACTAGTTTATAGCCCCCTTTCCCACTCTTCAGCTATCAGTAGTTATCAGGAGTGCTGATAAGAGAGGAAGCACCAGGCTTTGGGCTTTTCTCCAGGGTCTATTTTAAGGGACTTCTAAAGATACTCATTCTGTACTCTTTTGTGTGTCATTCTCAGAAGTCCCTCATTTTCCCAGCGTCTGTGAAGAGTAAAAATACATCGCACCAATAAACTGGTAGTTTTGGTGATGAATCACTGTGCCCTGGTGGCTCTAGCAGAGGGAGGCTTCTCTGCTTACTGCATCTACAGCCAGGTCTGCAAGAAATATCCATCCATCCATCCGTGCATTAACCAGGCATGTATGCATGCATCCATCCACCCACCCACCCATCCGTCCATCCACCCACCCATCCATCCATCCATCCACCCATCCATCCATCCATCCACCCACCCACCCACCCATCCATTCTCTCATCCTGAGACAGAGAAGTCCTCACATTGAGAGAGGAAGCCCAGTTGTGACCTGGCTAGCTGAGTGCCACCTCTGACCCCCTGGAGCCTTTGCACAGTTTCCTCCTGAAGAGAGCACCTTACCTTGAACTCTGCTTCCAAAATGGGTCTCAGATTGATTCCACCTGTCAGAATGTTCTTGCTTCTACTCTTCCATCCATCCACCCATCCATCTTCCCACCCATCCATGCATCCACTCATTCACCCATCCACCCACCCATCCGTCCATCCACCCATCCATCCACCTACCCACCCATCCATCCACCCATCCATCCATCCACCCACGCACCCACCCATCCACCCACCCACCCATCCATCCATCAACCC